CTCTTACCAAATTGTTAAGCACAATGACCAATCTAATAAGGGTGTATATTTTGATGTCAGTTAAATATCCTCAGCCTAGGAAACTCAGTGAGATAAAATAATTACAACTTGGATTCTGCTTTGGAGAAGAATATACAAGGAATGAAGAAGTGAAAGGTCATGAGAGGAAATCAAGACTAACAGACCCCAATGAGTATTCTGAGTTCCCCAAAACCCAAGAAGAGGGTCAGATACAAATTATAGCCAAAAGCTCTGGCTGGTTCAGCTTAGCTGTTAGAGTGTTGGCCTATAACCAAAGGCTTGCAGGTTCGATTCCGATCAGGGGCACGCGCCTGGGTTGCAGGTTCAATCCCTGGCCCTGGTCAGGGTTGTACTGGAAGCAGCCAATTGATGTGCATCTCTCATATGGATGTTTCTCTCTCTCTCTCTCTCTCTCTCTCTCTCTCTCTCTCTCTCTCTCTCTCTCCCCCTCCCTCCCTCCCTTCCTCTCTCCCTTCCCCTCCCTTCCACTCTATCTAAAAATCAATGGAAAAATGTCCTTAGGTGAGGATACAAACAAACAAAACAAATTATGCACAAAATAGCAGAAGGAAGTAATAAGTAAATTAACATATAACAGAATTCTTCTATAAACTTTGTCCTTTTATCACTTTGCTCTCCAAGTCATTTTGAGAAAAAACTTCTTAAGTAAGGTTTAGATTACTTTTCCTTTTTCTTACTTCAGCGGTTCTTTTAGTTTAGTAACCATTTGCCTGGAGTTGGTTTAAATTGTAATGCAACTGTTTCCTACCCTTCTTGAGTTTAAATGAAATTTCCTCATCCTAGTAAATATAGTGGGTGGTCTCCTTCTATTGGAAGATCAGTTAATTTTGTACTGAACTTGATTAATAAGTTATTTCTTCTAGAGCACTGATATTCTGAAAGGGTTAATGCCTTCTTTTTGTCTTTTGTTCATCCTCACCAAAGGATATGTTTCCATTGATTGTTTTTTTGTTTTGTTTTTAGATAGACTCAAAGGGAGGGAGGGAGAGGGAGAGGGAGAGGGAGAGAGAGAGAGAGAGAGAGAGAGAGGGAGAGAGAGAGGGAGGGGGGAGAGAGAGAGAGAGAGAGAGAGAGAGAGAGAGAGAAACATTGATGCGAGAGAGACACATGTGCCCTTAACCAGGAATTGAACTCCCGACTCTTCGGTTCGAGGGCTAATGCTCTAACTGCTGAGCCAGATCAGCCAGGGCAATGCCTCTTTTTGTACAAATATAAAGTCCAAGAGTGGGAAAAAAAATCCTTTTTGTTTTTAAAACAAAAAGTGAAAGAGAAATAAGCCAAATCAAGGAACTGCCATTTCCTCCCGCAGAACCTTTCCAAGCCTGGCCATGCCTGCTCTCCCTGCCGCTTTCCAGTCCGCTGCTCCCGTCTCTCCCGGCAAGGCGGCTGGAGCTTCCTGGAGTTTCTGTGAATCTGTGTTGTGAGTTGGAGTTGTTCTCTGCTGTCCGAGTTCTACAGCATGTTGATAAGAAGAGTCAAGTATAAAAAATAATGAAGTTTTAGCTCACAGAACTCTCATTCTGGAAACTTGAGGGGTCACCTAACATGTCTCTGCTTATTTCAGCATCAGCAAGCAGCAGTGTGGTGATCACTCCCAGTGATCGGCGATGTTTTAGCCACCAGTTCCTCTACAGCCTCCCATAGTGATGGCCTTCAAGGGAGGCTGTGCACATGCAGAATTCATGTGCAGAGTCTGCTGCTTTTATCAGATTCCGAAAGGAACCCATGAGCCAAAAAAAAAAAGTTTAAAAAAACATAAGCTGCCCTATGACCTGAGGGTGACAGAAGGAAGTACGGAAATGAACGGGCATTGGAGGAGTTTCAAATCTAGTTAGGGAGCCAGCTTTAATGCAGCCTCGGTGGGAGAACCGTATCAAAGAGCCTCATGTCCCTGTGCAGTCCGCAGTTCAGAAAAACAGGGAGATGAATGAATGAGCAAGAAGCAGGGAAGACTTCCTGGAAGAGGTGAGACTCAACATCCCCCTATTCTCCTATCTCAGGGGGTTGATCCAGGCATGTTAGTGTTGGACACTGGAAATAGATGATCTTGTACTTCTTCCCTAAAATGTTAGCCATTCAGGGGATAAGGCAGGAATTGTGTAAGAGTATGTCTAACCCTCTATACTAACAATTCACCCATATGCTTGTTTAAGCCTGTTCCATGCCACCTTGACGATACTGTTAAATAGTGGTCAGTAGGTAGTGTTACTTCAGTTTCATTAGTGCTTTCTTCCTCCACTTTCCTGTAAATTGGCTTTTAAATATAAAGGGGGCTTCTGCCCGCCCAGCAGTGTGTCTGGGCCTCACAGCCTCCACCTAGCTGTGACCTTCAGTGAATACCAAAGGGACAGACTGGTTTAGCATTGCCTGGACAAGAACAGTTTTCTAGACTGCAAATATACGAAGAGAGAATGCACGCCCGAGGACGTGCAGAGTCCTAAGGACTTTCTCTTTCTCAGAGCTGCTGCTTCCTTCCACCAGCAGGAGTAACTGCAGTGCCCACGCCACAAACCTGCAACGTTCTCTCCTTTAGATGGTATCACACAATGATCTTTATTGCATTTCCTGTTGCATCTTTCTGCTCAGGGACTTAGGGACTTAGTGGATTTGACAGAAAATGTACTCACATATGTAATATTTGAAGTGATTATGCCCCCAAAACTAAAAATATAAACTTATTTGTGGCTTCTGAGTTATGGTTGGGAGCTGCAGCCCTTACCTCTTTCTCTCTTAGCCAAATACTTCTCTGACGTGTATGTTTCCAAGGGACTGCTGAATTTATGTCAATGACAACTAAAAATCACCTTAATCCGCTTTTAGAAATAAGCAGAAATTGAAATGGAATTCAAGTGAAGGAAATGAAACTCAAAGTTCTCTTAATCAAAGGCTTATCCAATCAGTTACATTGTTAATGAAAATTGCTAGTTTTCTGTTTAGCATGTAATTTTTCCCCAACTTACTGGTACAGAGAGAAAGTCATAGAAAGACCAAGCCTAAGTAATTACTGTGCAGTGCATGGTGAAAATACATTAATGAGCTTAGCTGTCAACAGCGTCCAAGTATAGAATTATTTCTAAGCTACAAGGTTTGCCTAGTGACCTGTTCACCATCTCGCTACCATGAGCTACCTCTGTCCTCCTTTTAGGGTACTGCACCTTGAAACCACCTAGGGAGCTTTAAAAAATACTGATGCTCTGGTCTCAAAACTAGTGGTTTTTATTTTAATGGTCTGGGGTAAAGCCTGGGAACTGGATTTTTTAATAAACTTCCAGGAGATTTTATACACACTCAGGTTGAGACAATTGCTTTAGACCCTGAGATGACCCTGCACTCTGGTCGTCTCTGTTTCAGCAGACAGAGAAACAAGAGGCTTTCTGATTACACTAAAGAATGTCGCTATTGTCAAGTCTTCTGGCAATGTTTTACCTCTAATGACTTGCCTGGTTCCCATCGCTGTGTTGTCTTGATCTTTCTCCTTCGTTCACTCATTACACATTTATTATGTGCCAGAGACTGCAATTTCAGATCACGGACTACTCTCCTAGCTGATGACTACCCTCTTTAAGACACCTACAAGTGTCAGAGTGATATCAGGTTCCTTTCTGCCCCCGAAACTTGCCCTGGCAATGATTCTATCCATATTCCTTACCACATCTTGACTTTGAAAAACATTTTCATTTTAAGGAATAAATAAGGAACATCTTTTTAATGAAGGATTTTGTGTTGTCATGGTATACTTAGTATTAGCTTGTCATCAAATGAGGAAATGGGGTGGTGCTCTACCAGGTAAATGTGGTAGTCGGACAAGAAGGTTTAGAAATGTGCAACCCCAAATTAAGGACTGTGTGGCCTTTCTTTGCAATAGGTAACAAAGAGAATCTTCTGCTTTTGAAATTGCTTTAGAGCCCGGCCAGTGTGGCTTAGTGGACTGAGTGTTGTCCCATGGACTGAGAGGTCCTGGTTCGATTCCCAGTCAGGGCACATGCCCCAGTTGTGGGTTCGATCCCCGTGGTGGGGGGGGTGCAGGAGACAGCTGATTAATGTTTCTCTCTCACATTCATATTTATCTCCCTCTCTCCCTTCCTCTCTCTCTAAAAAAATCAATAAAAACATTTTTTAAAAAAAATTTAAAAGAAAGAAGATGCTTTAGAATTGGGCTATATATTCCAAATAAAAGAAATGAATCTGTGTACGAGAGCATGTTTAGATAAGTGCTGCAGTTGACTGGTGGGGAAGCAAACTACCTGGAATCAAATGCCATGCCTGTGACTCAAGGATATCGAGTTCACCAGCGTGAAGGGCGGAAGCATTTGATGCTGACACAAATTACTGGAAAATTAATGTACAAACCTAGACTGAAATGCGCTTTCTACTTTTAATGAAGTGAATAACATCCTATAGTAAGCTTATGTCTATTTCCACCATTTCAATGTTGATGAGAATGGTGTAAATACATTTGGAATTGGTGATTTAAATGATTGTGATTCTTTTGTTGTTTTTAAGATTATAGTTACATTTTCATCAAGCATATCTACTCAAAATAGAAAAGTCAGCAAAGTACAAAATAAGAATTTATGTATGATGATACCTCCACCCAAGTCAGCCACTGTTAACATTTTAGAGTGGGTCTTTCATTCATAGATGATAGACGATAGATGATCAACTGATAGATAGATACATAGATACATAGATACATGGATAGATGATAGAGCCACAAATACAGACTGTATATAAACCAGGTTAATAATGCACACAAAATTTAATATACAGGTACTTAAAAAAAAATGTGTGTCAATTTTCCAACTTCAAAACTTCACCTGTAGCTGTTCTCATACTAAAGTTATAACTGGATAAACCCGGCCAGTTATACAAATGTTCTGTGGTCTGAGATAACATGCAAATCAACCTCCCATCTCTATGTGTGAACGCTGGACAGACCACAGTTCAAAGGAGGAAGTGCATTCTGTCGAGCTAACTTGCACATTCACTGTTCGAGTTACAGCATCTACGGGGTCGCTGTGTACCAGGCACATAAACTCTTCTCAATAAAAATGGTAAGTAATCAATTTCATGGCTCTCCCTGGTTTCCTGGCAAACATCTAAGCTTCTCTACATAGAGCAGAGAGGGGTGGGGGTGCTTGATGGCCAGGTTCCCAGGCCTTGGGAAGTTTTCCTTGTCCCATGTTGTTTCATTTGTTACTGAGTCTTTATTGTACCACTTGAGAGACTGTGGCTTCAGGAGTTCCCTTTTCTGCTTCTAGCCTTCAGAACAGAGGAAGAACTGTGCCCTAGAGAAAGAACAGCTGCCTTTTTTGTCTTTGCCTCCTAAGAGCTGGGTTCCAGGACGAGCTATGTCGTTAAGTTTCCTACTATGAGCACTTGGGAGCCCAGAGGAGAACTCCAATGATATGTGCTGGGTAGATTGCTGATGATGAGGGCCTTTTGACACCACAGTGGATTTTACAAGAGGAGTCAAACTATTCTTTGGTTTTAAAGAATGCATTTTTAAATTATTTTAAGAGAAGCAATCAAAGCCCAAATAGCCCAAACCTTAGGGACAAGTTGTGTTCCCAAAGTTAATGGGAATCATTATTTAGAGCACACTTAAAATTGTGATAAGAAGCTAGCTTAACCTATAATGTAGCCAAACTACAGCATTAACATTCTGCTACATTGTTTCCTATTATTTCTCTATGAAAACTGGCTGTGTTCTTGTACTTGTGGTGTTCTTACACTCCCAGAGTCGAGACCAGAGCCAACTTTCTATCCCACACGCCCCTCCCCAGCCCCAGAACACTGGAGATTGATGAGCCCTCTCTCATTATGGAGGGGGTTAGTTCTTTTACCAGCTCCCAGTGAAAAGATGGGGATCAAGACAGTCATTCTTATAGGATCTCAGTGGGGAAGGAGCATGCTGCAGACATTGGAATGGACAGGGACAGGGGTTCCAGGAATGTGTTTTAGTCTGGAAGCTCTTGAGCCAGAAGGAGACAGTGTGGAAGTAAGAGTGGAACCTAACCATGGAGGAGCGAGGGGGAGAAACGGGGTTAGAGTTATAGTCACAGGGGAGCGAATCAGCAGTAGTGAAGAAGACAGTTGCCCATGACCCTTGCTGCAGCCGCACCTGATCCCTTCTGTGTTTCCAACTGGATCTGTAGGAGGTTCAATATTGCTGGAACACGCGTGACCTTCATCACTGATATCCTCTTCAAAAATAAATGAGAGCATTTCTCTAATAGGTGATCAACATGTAAATTTTAATATGATATCAATATCTCACTAGAATTTACATGTGTTTCTGAGCAATTTTTTAAATAAAATGTACAGATTCGTAAGAAAAATAGATAAATGAGGGCATTGTGGTTCACAAGAGTTATTTGGATTGTCTTGGGAGAAATGAGATTATACTAGCAGAAAGAAAGAAAGTTTAACTGGATGGTGTGTGTTCGGTGTAACAAGCAAGCAATGTTTCCTTATGAGATTATCTTCTTATAAGAGTAACACATACGATTAAAGAAAACTTCTTAGAAACATAGATATGCAGAAACAAAACAATACATAGTTTCTATAGTTCCCTCACCTAGAGAACCATCATTATTAAATCATTACCAATCATTTAAAAAATATTATCATTTAAAAATATATTTCATAAGTATAATTTTCTACAAGTGCCATCATACTTTATTTATTTATTTTTTATCCTCACCCGAGGACATTTTTCCATTTTTGTTCAGATAGAGCGGGAGGGAGAGAGAGGAGGAGAGAGAGACAGAGAAACATCGATGTGAAAGGGACACATCGAGTGGCTGCCACCCACACGACCAACCAGGGCCAGGGACAAACTGCAACCGAGGTACATGCCCCTAGTTGGAACCGAATCCGGGTCTCTCTGGGCCGCAGGCTGACACTCTAACTGCTGAGCCAAACCGGCCAGGGCCCCTCATACTTTAAAACCCTTTCCTTATCTGATTTTTTACTTGAGATATTTTGAATAATATATGAGTTAAATATCATTTCTCATGATAAATCACTTTTAATTATTATGTAGTACTCCATAATTTATTTTAATCAGTTCCATATATTTGGGCATTTAGTTATCTTCTTCTTCCTTCTTTATGGTAATATAGACAAGATTGTCACGAGCATTCTTTTATATACATTGCCTGATTATTTTTTTATGGGCAGAACTATTAGAAAAACAACTAAGTGAAAAAAAAAAAAAAATACATGTGCTTAAGACTTTTAACAAGACACCTTCTCTTTAAACAAATATATTTATGTTTACTTACTCTCTAGTGGCACACTAAATAAATTTCCAAGTGGTGATTATGATATATTCATGCCTCTCTTTGTAGCATGTCCAGTGATACCTGAAGAGAAAGTGTACTTCCGTCAACTTCTCTCTCCCCAGCATAGCTTCTGATATTTGTGGGACAGGTTGCAGGAAGACAGGCAACGTGCTGAAGGAAGGGACACAAACCCTGCTCCTTCTCCTTGCGGGGCATTGAGCGCAGTCACGAGGCTATACTCAGGACTTCGTATGCTTTCCTTACTTGTGTTTTTTCACAAGTCATTTACGTTCTGCATTTTTCTTTATCCAACAGTGGTGAGATGAGGAGGAGGGGGAGGAGGAGGAGGAGGGGAGAGGGAGGAGGGTGATGATGACTATCCCACCATGTTGTTTTGGAGAGCAAATAAATCATAGTTATAAAGTACTTATTACAATGCAGGCACCAGCCAGATACTAGATGGATATGAGTTTCCTTCCTTTAAGCCCCTATAAAGAATTTCTTAAGGCAGCCTGGAGACCCAGCGAGCACAGGAGGAGCATGACAACAGCAGTTGAATGTGTGAGCCCTGACATGCACTATCTCATTAAATCTCCATAAGAGGCTTTAGAGACAGTTACCACCATTCTGCCCACTGTCCAGCTGAGTACCCTGAGTCTGGGGAAGGGCGTGTCGCTCGCTCACAGCTATTCAGTGTTGGGACTGGAATTTGCACATAACTCCGTCTGCTCTCGGCGCCGGGGCTTTTGTACATTTGCTGCATCTGAGGAAGAGTAGGTCCAGAGGGGACCACAGGGTGGTCCGAGCAGAGTCTGGGCCTGGCTGCTAGCCTGCGAGGCGCCCTTCCTCAGACAGGTGGCCCTCCCGGTTGGAAACCAGCCAGCATAGCAGCCTCTGCTACTGCCGGTGTGAACTGGCCCAGTTCCAGAACGCTCACGTCATTGAAATCTTGCAGAAGCCACTGGGGCAGGGGGCTGGAGGTCCCTGCTGCGTTTCCTCCACCCCGGACAGGAAGGAGGATTAAATGATCAAATGCTTCCTCCTCCCTTCTGTTACCGATGGGACTAACCTGGCCTGCTCCAGGCTGGTGCAGGAAAGAAGTTCTCAGAAACGGGCCCATGGCTGGCCCAGGTGGTTATGGGGAAAGTCACCGTTTATTGCCTGAACCTTATGACTTATTGGTAGGGGAACTGTGGAGACCTGTGGGGAACAAAGAACACGGGACCCTGTGAGGACAAGCACATGGGCTACTGAGACTGATGGGTGTTAGTCACGCAGTGGCAAGGAGCGTCGGGTGCCAGGCCCAGCTCCCTAACGCCCTTGGCGATCTTGACCCGGCCTTGCCAGCTGTCTCTCCACTGCTCAGGGACGGCAGGGTTGACCCAGGTGCTCCCCGTGTTCTGCATGCGATTTCGCAGTTTAGAATGAAAGGCCGCGGGTTCTGCCTCTCAAGCATCCGCCCTGCGGAAACTGACCGACTCTGCAGCCAGAGGCCAATCAGCTCACTCCGTGGCCCCGAGGGAAATGACAGAGAAGGTGCCGTCCCCAGAAAGCATTTCTCGGTACCTTTCAACTGGTAGAATTTTCTGGGGGGGGGGGGAATTAAAAGAGGAGCAGATATCCAATAATACACAAATTTGTGTATGTTCATGGTAAATGAAGAGAAAAATCTTCTACAAATAAATCTTAGAAGGTTTGAAGAAATGAAGTGAAAACATGTGTTTGGGGTTTTTGTTCATTCATTTTGCTCCTTTCATTGAGCTTTCAGTGCACGTGTGATTTATATGAACGGCGTGTGGCACCCACACTCCTTCCTCCCACGCAGGCGTGTGGAGCCCCTGCTGCGTGTCGGGGCTCGGGCAGATGACAGTGCAGGGTGAACTCCAGAGGTGGGGGCCTGGCTTCCTGGGTCTCAAATTTTGCAGCTGAATCACCTGGAGGGCCAGGGATGTGGTCTAAGAATTCACATTTTTTTTTTTTTTTTTTTAATTGACTTTTTTTTTTTTTTAAGAGGGAGAGAGAGATAGAAACATCCATGTCAGAGCTATACATCAATCTATACATCCATCAGCTGCCTCCCACATGCCCCCTCTGGGGATGGAGCCCACAAACCAGGAATGAGCCCTGACCGGGAATCGAACTGGGACCTCTCAGTCTGTGGGACGATGCTCAATCCACTGAGCCACACCGGCAGGCAGAATTCACGTTCCTAGTCAAGTCCCAGATGATGCTGAGGCTACTGGTGCAGGCACTTGGGATCACGGTTCTGTGGAAGTGGATAGATCTAAAGCTAAACAAAGTAAACATGTAAGTCAATACCTTGCAGGGACCTTGGCGAGGTGACTGAGGAGCGGGGACAGAGCACACGGACGAGATGTCCTCCCAGAAAGGGACGTGGTCTCTGGTAGCATGACAAGCAGACTACAGCAGGGGCTCTCAGCTCTGGCTGCACAGCAGAACCCCAGCAGCAGGTTTAACCCACCCCATTCTCAACACCCCCAGTGTGACCAGTTAAATGGAAACCTTGACGAAAGAGGCGGGGCCAGTGGGGTGAGAATCGCTGCCCCAGGGTGAGAATGAGCGGGCACGGGAAGTGGTGGTAAAAGCCAATTCGAGCAGAGGACAGGGCAATAGAGGGAGGCAGAGGACAGACTGGATCTGCGGGGAGACCAGGGTGTCTAGAGAATCAGCACGACAAGAGGGTGGCAAGAAATAAGCAGCAGCCACTGAACAACGGATGAGTCTCAAATCCATGACAAGGAATG